GAGACTTTACAATCGGAAGTGTGAATTCGCGAGTGAAGTGGCATTTGGATACAGTGTCGGTGACGAGAGACTTTACAAACGGAAGTGTGAATTCGCGAGTGAAGTGGCATTTGGATACAGTGTCGGTGACGAGAGACTTTACAAACGAAAGTGTGAATTCGCGAGTGAAGTGGCATTTGGACACAGTGTCAGTGACGATGGACTTTCCAAATATCGTTGGAAAGCTAAGATTTCAGCGCTTCTAACGAGATAAGAATCGCTTATCTCGGATCATTAGTTTATGAGATATCATCGATTAATTTTGAAAATAAAATTGATTTTGTCCCCGAGATCGAGATCACGAGTCGATAACTTGGCACAGAAAAATCGTAACTAAGATAATCTTGGTCTCGTTGGAAAGCTAAGATTTCAGCGCTTCTAACAAGATAAGAATGGCTTATCTCGGATCATTAGATTATGAGGCATTATTGATAAATTCCGAGAAAATTGATTTTGTCCCAAAATCGAGATTGTGAATTAATCTTTCGATTGAATGAATCTCTCTCACGTCGTGCATTAAATAGCAAACCTAATTTATATTCACTCAATATTCATTTTTCTAAATATACACATATGTAATTTCACGGTTTTTTGTCCATAATCCCCTCCTCGGGTACTACCTTGTCGCGGTGGAGGGGCTCAAGTACCCCGAAGAGTTACTCTCTAAAAATCAATCAGTGCATTATCACTGAATCAGTGAATATTCACTATTTTCAGTGATAATCCATTGATTGATTTTAGAGAGTACATACTCTAAAGACGGGACAACCAAAGGTACCCATTGCACTATTTGGGCCCGATTTTTCAGTTTCTAATAAACTGTTGACCATAGTTTAATCGATTCTCTGTCTCTTCTTAGATAATAATATTGAAAAGCATAGATAGTCGAGTAACTTCCACATTAACAGTTAACAAGAAAATGATAAACCAGGCCTAACATTCTCTGAAAGTTAATCGGTGGATTATTACTGAAAATAACGAATCGATTCACTGTTTTCAGTGATAATCCACCGATTGACTTTTAGAGAGCACATTTATTAATTGATTTTGTTCATTTCAGCACGAACTTTCGAGAACTGACGAATAATTTCGATATTATTTCGCCAGTTTAAACGAATCGCAACCGCGCGCGGCGATTCGTCGTGTCGTGTCGCGTCGCGTTCGGGAGTGTCGTTTGTGTAATTGGACTAAAGACTTTCAAAGTGTAAAATCGCGCGAACGATCTTTGTGTGTGCGCGAGTGTGCAAGAAGACGACCTGAGTGGAGGAGGAGACCTGGGGAAGGCATCAGGCACCGGCGGAGCAACTTTAGCGTAAGTATTTTTTCTTTTGTATAAAATTAACCTTTCTCTTGTTTATTTTTAATCATTTAAAAATTATTTTCTTTTTAATATTTATTTTCTTGAATACTCTGTTTTAATATGAACTTAATAATTGTATGTTACAGGATCAACGTAGTTCAACTCCGCTGCTGCGCATCGGGTCGGTGAGTTAAAAACTTTTTTATTATGGCAACGAATATACACACTGTAAAAAAATTATATGTAAAATTACAAATATTACAGTGAGTAATGTTGGAACCATCTGTTAAAGGTGTATATTTACATATGTCAGTAAATTTACTGCTTGTAAAATTATTACCTTATATAATAAGTAAACCGCTTGGTTTTGATTGTGTAAATTTTACATTTTTTGTAATTTTCATCATGTATAAACGAGTATTTACACAACAAAGAGTAAAAAATTTTTTGGTAAAAGTACATATTTATATTATTAATAGTGTAATCGCTACACATATTATGTATGTAATTTTACATACTTTTTTTACAGTGCATCTCATAGATGACATAGATCATAGATTGTAGATCGTAGACCATAGATTGTAAATCGTAGTTTATCTTGTATATTCGTTGCCTTAAAACAAAGCTTCCTCTATGAGGAAGCAAAATGGATAGGTTTTAAATGCTAACGGGAAGTAAATTTTTTATTTAACTCTCCACATTCATTTAATGTCATAGAGCTCTACAAATCACAGTATGTCGAGCTCATTTTCCATGTTGAGAATCGGTGAATTACCTTACAGAACTTAAGCAAAATGTGGCGAATATTAATGATGTATTCGTCGAGCTAATTTCTTGTAGTCTATCCATTTTTATTAACAAATTGATATATAAACTAAAATAATATGATGTGAGATTCTAATATGTTTTGTCCAGAACACTGAAATTTTAATTTATATATATTATTTGCGGTTATTAATTAATTATAATATGCAATTGAAATATCGGTTGGAATCGTGAAAGAAGTTTCGTTTTTCTGGATCTCACCTCATTTATTATTGGTATGTGTGTATGTACATGTACGTGATATACGTACTTTCAAGATGCGTCTTGCATGAATGCATGCATAGTCATACGCATCTTTGTATTTTCGCGGTCGGTTTGCGCGATCGGTTTTTCAGGAAAAATTTTCAATTAGTTATTAAATTTTATCCATATTATAAATTTTAATTTATTGAGGAATATGATTAAAATCACTCTAACGCGAAGTAAATTTTATTCTATATCTACTTAAATTTCGAATTCAAAGATCAAGTTACGAAGAGATGGTCAATATTTTTGAACAAATAACGGAAGTAAAAATAAATTTAATTCGTATATACAGTAAAGTTTTTTGAATTAATATTCTTCTTTAAT